TTAACAAAGCATAGAACAATAATCACATCATCCTATCAATTAATGAAGAAAAGGTTTCTGACAAAATCCAACACCTTATTTGATTAAAACACTCAACAAAATAGGAATAGAGGGAATTTCCTTAGCATGGTGAAAAAAACATATACAAAACAAAAAGCCAACATTGCTCTCAATGGAAAGAGATTAAAGTCGTTCCCCTTGAAACAAGAACTAGGCAAGGGTGTCCATTATCACCTCTCCTATTCAATACTTTATTTGAAGCCTTAGCAGTAAGAAATAAAGCAAGAGAAGGAAATAAGAGGTATGAAAATTGGCAAAGAGGAGGTAAAATTATCCTTATGTGCAGGTGATATGATAGTATACTTAGAAAACCCTAAAGACTCAGTGAGAAAACTACTAGACATAGTTCACCAATTCAACAAAGTAGCAAGACACAAGATTAACATACAAAAAAATCAGATTTCTCGACGGTGACAAATACAGAAATGGAGCTGTGAAAAAGAACCCATCACAATACTAATTACAAGATTAAATACTTGGGAGTAAATATAACTGGAGACACAAATTTCCTGTATAAAGAAAATTACAAAACATTACTACAAGAAACAATGAGACCTGGAGAATATACCATGCTCATGGATAGGAAGATGTAATATGGTGAAAAGGACAAGTCAAGCATCTTAACAAGAGAAAGGTCAATCTACAAGTACAATGCAATCCCAATGCAGATACCAATTCTATTTTTTCAATGAGATGGAAAATCAATTTTCAATTTTATCTGGAATGGAAAGAGACCCGGAATATACAAAGCACTACTGAAAGAGAAACAAGGTAGGAGGCATCTCACTCCCTGATCTCAAATCCTACTACTATACTGCCATGGTGTTGAAGACAGTATGGTACCGGTATGGTGGCCAGACACATAGATGAATGGAGTAGAACTGAGAAGCCAGAAATCAACTCATCTACCTATGGGCAACTGATTTTTTACAAGATGATGAAATCAAGAAAATGGAGAATGACAGCCTTTTAAATAAATGGTGGTGTCAAAATTGGAAAATTATCTGTAGAAAACGCAAGCAATATCCACATCTCACAATATAAACAAATACCAATTCAAGGTGGATCAAGGACCTAGGAGTAAAATCAAAGACTAATCAGCATTAATAGCCTTCTGACCATAATGAAAAACCTATAACCAGGAGAGGAAAAAACAGATGAATGGGACCTTCTAAGAATCAAATCCCTGTGCACATCAAAAAACTTCTCCAACAAGATAAAAAGGAAACCCACAGACTAGAAAAAAAAAATTGGCTATGACATTATCTGATAAGGGACTCACAACTAATATTTACTCTAGCACCTCAACAAGAAAAAGGTCAACAACCCAAAATTGCAAAATGGGCACAGGTATAAAAATGGGCAAGAGGTATGGAAATGGGCAAAATGAAGACCGTCAGATGGCAAATACATGAAGAAATGTTCATAATCCCTAACTACCAGAAAGATGAAAATAAAAACAACTATGAGATATCATCTGACTGTAGCAGCAATAGCAGAGTTTAACAAAGAAGCAAACAACAAATGCTGGCGAGGTTGTGGAGAAATTGGAGCCCTTATTCACTATTGGTGGCAATGTAAAATGGTGCAACCACTATGGAAAGTAGTCTGGCACTTTCTCAAAAAAATTGGAAACAGAAATACCATTTGACCCAGCAATTCCTCCACTGGGAATATACCATAAAGAATCCAGAGCTGCATGCACACCACGTTTACTGCTCCATTATTTACAACAGCAAAGAGGTAGAAGCAACCCAAGGCCCCTCAATAGACGAATGGATAGAAAAACTGCTATATTCACACAATGGAATACTACATAGCAATGGAAAAATCATGAACTCGTAAAACACTATACAAGGATGATCCTGGAGGACATTATGCTGAGTGAAATATCTCAGTCACAAAAGGACAAATATGGCATCGCACCACTGTTATCAAATAGGACTGACATCGGGGGTTGGAGATAAAATATGAAAAGAGTGGCTAGATAATGAAGACTGCATTGGAACAGGTGAGAGAAAGAAATGTCTTAAAAAAATATATAGGTATATATATGATTAGGCATTATATGTATGACAAAAATCCAGAACAAGAGGTGCATTGTAAAATGGATTGGGGGGAGGGGGAGAGGAAAATATGCAATAATGAGTGAATGAAATTCTACAAATCATCAATGACCTGTTTTATACACTGGCAATCCCTGTCTGGTGTTAAGGGTTTATTGTTCAAAATAGTTCCCTAGCCATTGACTAATTTTGCCATGTGGATGGATGTGGATAGTGTGTTAGTTGAGTGGATCCAGCAGCAGAATTTGAGAATCTCATCACCAGTAAAAAAGCAAGCATACAGTGTGTACTCTTCGGGGCCAGAGGTTCTTGAGCCAGCTAGAGGTACAGCAGCAGCAGTCATGGCTGAAGCAGAAGACCAGAGACCTGACATGAGATGGAACTGACCTTGGGAATGCTACCCCACAGAGGAACTAGAGCCAAGAGCCTTTGTCCAAATGTGCTGGAAAACTGGGTGGTGCAACTGGAGGGGAGGAGGAACCATGATTGGCAGGACTGAACGCTTTGTAACACTGGCCTAAAGCCAGGAGGCTCAAGGTTGAGGTGCCTGTGAGCACATTTCAGAAGTTGTCCAGAATGATGATATTCTGCGTGGTGGTTGATTGCTGTCGAGTCGATCATGACTCATAGTGACCCTATGAACAAAAGGCCTGAAGCCTTTCTATAACTATCATCATTTCTCCAAGTTCATAGTTTCCTGAGGCATGTGGTTTAGGAAAGATGCCACTTCTGCTTCCAAACCTGTCTTAATCTGGGAGCTCCAAACACTGTCTGCCATGGGCAGCCATTAATATTCTATTACTAACCTGAATTATAGCCTTTTGACTTTTCTAATATGGTTCTGTGTGGTCTGTGAGCTATCACAAAGGATTTCTGATCCTCACATACTTTGAGCATGTTGCTTTATTTGCTGTCGCGTCAAGTATGACTTATAGTGACGTTATGTACAAAAGATCTGAACCCTGCTCTATATTGTGCCATCCTCAAACTTCCTGATACACAAGAGCCCATTGCAACAGTCACCGAGTCAATCCACCTGGTGGAGGGTCTTTCTCTCCTTCGCTGACCCTCCACCTTTCCCAACATCATGTCCTTCTCCAAGGCATAGCTCCTCCTAGTAACATGTGGGAAGTATGTAAGGCAAAGCCTCATCATTGTTGCCTCCAAACAGCACTCTGGCTGCACCTTCTCCAAGGTATATCCATTTGTTCTCCTGGTCATCCATGGATGTTCACTGCTCTTCTCCAACTCCACAGCTCAAAGGCATCAGTTCTTCTGTCATCTTTATTCACTGACCAGCTCTTAGATGCATAGCAAGAAATCTGAATCAGACACCCCTTAGTCCTCAAACTGACATTACTCCTCAAAAACCTAGAGTGGTCCCTAACTTTTCCCATTGTAATGCATTTCCTTATTTCCTGACTGCTGGTACCAAGGGTGTTAATTGTGGATCCAAGCAAGATGAAGCTGTTGACAGTTTCAATCTCCTCTCCATTAATCATGATGCTGCCTATTGGTCCAGTGGTAAGAATTGTTTTCTTCACATTTAGATGGAATCCATACTGAAGGCTGCATTCCTTGATCTTCTGTAACTAATGCTTCAAGTCCTCTTCACTTTCAGCAAGCAAAGTTGTGTCATTTGCATAATACAGTTTACTGATGAGTCTCCCTCCAATCCTGATGTCACACTCTTCTTCACAGAGTCCAGCTTCTCGGATAATTTGCTCAGCATACAGATTGAATAGGTATGGAGAGAGAATACAACTCTGACACACTTCCTTCTCAATTTTAAACCATGCACTGTTCCCCTGCTATTTATTGGAGAGGGATATCATGCTTGGGAAGGTGAAGGAGAGGAATACCTTCAAGCAGGTGGACTGACTATAGTAACGGCTTGAGGGTGTCAGAAATAGTGAGGATGGCAAAGGATAGGACAGGGTTCAGATCTGTTGTTTATAGGATCACTATGAGTTATACTTGATGGCATCTAACAACACAGTAAAATCAGTGTTGGGATGAATAGAAAGAAGTATGGGAGTGTGGGAGACATATCTGACCTCATAAGAATTAGTTTATGTCACTGACAGGGTAAGGTCCCCTCTGTGGAACTGGTGAAGGTTAGCTATGGCCATAATTTTATTGTCAAAAGGGTGCTATGGTTTAAAAGCTTTTAAATTTTAGCTCCAGGGCACACACTGGAAGAATTAGAAGAAAGCCTCAATAAGCAGTCACTATTAGTTGATAGAGGAAAAAAAAATTCGCTAATTCGCTCACAGAGGGTTGGTTCATCACATTGTCCCCTATCACTTTAAGAACTATCATCCCTAGGGGAGCTCTGGTGGCCTAGTAGCAAGAAGCTGCACTGCAATCCCAGAGGTATGTGGTTCGAATCCACTAGATGCTCTGCTGGAGAAGGAGGGGCAATCTCCTCCTGTACCAGTAAGCTCCAATTTGATGGTACACACACACACACACACACACACACACACTCTCTCTCACAAATAAAAAAATTTTAAAAGAACTATCATCCCTATAATAATCTTTTTTCTTTGCAGAATCTTTTTTCTTTTTCCAATTTAGCACCACATAATCAAATAAAATCAGCCAGTAGAGAGAGTTAACATGAAATAAAAGATTTCCAAGACAGCTCTGAAACCTGCTGGAGGGGGTGGGGGTCAGCTATGAGTGGGTTTCGACTTGAGAGCACATAACAACAGTAAGACACTCCAGGAGCCCTGGGTAATCACTTGGCTGCTAACCAAAAGGTTGGCAGTTTGAACCTACTCCGTGGCTGTGTGGGAGAAAGATCTGGGAATCTGTTTCCCAAAAAAAGGAAACCTAACCGTACCTACTGCTGAGCTGACTGTGCCTCACAGTGACCTGGCACTGGGTTTCCAGGATTTATAGAAGATTGCCCATCTTTCTCCCACTTAGTAAAGGTTCTTGTTGGCCCATCAGATCCAGCTTGGCATCTGAGCTAAGTCCTTCCCACTAACTCTCATCATACATTAATACATACCAGACTTGTACATCAGGAAATCTGAATATACACTGAAGGCTCCCTCGACTGGACCATTTTTGTAGATCTCAGCCATGATCTCACGCTCTGAAGAAGGAACACTGTAGGAGCTATGTCCTGGAAAACAAAGATACATGTGGGTGAATCATGCCTCTTACAGGGCCATCATTCACTGAGTTTCTGTGGGCTTCCAGGAGAAGCGGGTGCATATCATCCAAGGGGCTGTGCCCAGCCAGGGGAGTCAGGGAAGGCTTTCCTGAGATTGAGCAGCTATGAAGGATGATTAGAAGTGGGCAGAATATTAAGAAACACTCAGTGGAGAGCATAGTAATCATGAGGGGCTAGAATAAGCATAGTGTGGTACCCCAGAAATACTCTAGGACAAATTACTCATTTCCAAAACAGGGGGTTGGTCTCTTCCAGCTCTGGGATGCTGTGGTTTTAAATTAAGACAGTATCAATGAGGCTGAGTTCAGAGAAGCGTCAGATCTCTGTCAAGAGAGGCGCTGCTGTTTCTTTCCCCTGGTGTTCACTGTGTTAAGATTTCATCACCCTACTCTCTTCTTTCCTGTGGCCTAAGGAGCAGTGACTCTAGATCCACTGATCTAGAGTATGGAGCAGCCCGGACCCCATCTTACCATAATGCTTGTCTTCTTTGTAGGATGGGGAATAGCCAGCCTCACAGGTCTTGCTGCATTTGGGAGTCTCTCCTTCTCCCTGGCACTGGGGTCGGGAGCCATTGACATGGTGTTCACATGGAGGAATGGAATAGGGTCTGCAGCCTATTTGAGACCAAACAGAAAGGAGGTGCTCAGCCTACAGTCCCTATGGCAAAGCCTCCATGGGCTATGCAGAAGAATTGGGCAAGTGATAGTGTTAATATCAGTCTGCCAGCATGAATATTTCTTTTTCAATGATTACGACTTCTGCTATAGAAATGACTGGGTTCTCCATTTTTTTAGGTGAGTACTCTTGCTCTCAACCCCTCAACTGTATAATACTATGTGAAAGGAAACGGAAATAATTATCCATCACTTATAAAATCCACTTTGTCAGATATAGACTGAGAGAAGACACTCACCTACATGGGAGTCATAGAGGCCACCAGAAACCAGACCCTTCTTGGTCCAGAAGTTCCAAGCTCCAGCGGGAAAGCCCCCATTGCAACTGAAAAAAAGAATCATTCTTTAAACTCACTGTAAGAAGCCCAGGAGCGCACCAGACCTGGTACACAAAGCCTCCGCCAGCCTTTAGTCACTGGCCCAATAGCACTACCAAACTTTAATTAGCCCTAATATATCCTCCAGTTATTTACTTCTCCCAGGTAGTCAGGTAAGACCTCACTGCTGCCCACTGACACACCACTAGGATCAAAGGCTCACATATTTATTCATGTCTACACACATCATGCTGGGCTGATGTGTCCATTTCCCAGAACCCGTGGCACGTTCAACTCTACTGGGGGACACTAGTGATTCTCGTCTGTTTAGGGTAAAAGCTCTTATCACCATAGTTTTAAAACTTCCCAGGTTTTTTTAATCTGCAGCCAGGGTTGAGAATCACTGTTCAGAAACCAATGTCAGATGTTGGCAGAGGCAGATACATGAAGCAGGAATTTAATGCCGTATGATCAACTTGGGGCTCTATCATACTTAAATGGCTGAAAAGGAAACAGGCCCAGAGAGTATTACATTTCCCTAAGTCAGAAAAGGGAACAAGTGATTTTAGATGCCAGGCCTAGAATCAGAAATTTAAGTATTTTAAGACTTGTTGGGGAATGTTGGGGAGGAGGCCTCTGGCCGGGGCAGATTGCCTCGTTCCGGTAAGAGCAAGCCTATTTATCTGACCCAACAGCCCTTAATACGGGATAGGGAGCACCCTCCTGTGTTTGGCTGTGCTGCCTTGAAAAAACTCACCACCCGGGAAGATGGCTGCCACGTCTGTTGAGCTGGGAGTGGTCTGCACTGAGCTGAGGATCTCCTATCCAATCCGCATATTCCCCATCTACAAGCCCACCCTATCCTGTCTTCCTGTTTACTCGCCTGTATAAGCACACTGTAACCCCCAATTAAGTTGAGTGAGCTCCTCCGTCACACTTACTGCCCACACTTACTGCCGTCAGGGTGTTGTTGCTCCCCACCAGCCAATGGACAGCGACAGAGACTATCTGTTTTTCCAAGTTCCCACTCTATCTGTAATTCTAAGAGGCCAGCATGGCTCTAGGTTATCTCTCAAAATGGAAGAGTCATATTAGGGGCTACTTCCAAGCTCCCCAAGGTCTCCATTAAGAGAAACAGTTCTATCTTTTAACCTGAACAGGTGTTTAGGTCCTCAAGGGGAGAGGTGCCATCTTCTTCCTGAGGTAACCCACAAATTCTCAGCCTAGTGCCATTCCTAGGGTTCCCTCAGCTTCCTGCTGAAGAAGGGGCTCCCTCAAACTCACCCTTCCCCACACTCCAAGTGACAGCAGGTTAGCATGTCCTCTGCAGATACCTCCACACTGACATGCGCATTGGTATGAATGCAGATCCGGTCCGAAATGGCCTCCACCGCCCCAAATGCCTGCGGGAACAACCCCCACCAAGGTGAAAAGCCCACACCTCCCAACATGGTCCTCATGAGAAGATGGACAGCACACATGCCAGCTTTCACCCTGAGACCACAACAGACACCTGCCCTTGCTGGCCAGCTGCCCCCAGAAGCAGGGAAGTATAAGGGGTTCAAGCTTTGCTCTAAAGCAAGAGAGCAATCCACCCCAAACCCAGTTACTTGGTTCATTTCTGAAACAGTTTGTTTTAAACATATATATTTAAAAAAAAAAAAGAATTTGTTGATAGAGATGGAACAGTGTAGGGTCAGAAGGAATAGTATTTACTCTTAGACTAAGAGAAGGTGTCAAATAACTGAAGAGAGGTAAAGACACTCATACATTGTGCTTAAAATCTACAGGGTTCTTTTCACATCTATTATTCCACCTAATCCTTACAATAATTTCATGACTGTATGGTTCATGACTATTTTTATATTGATGGAAACTGAAGTTCAGAAAGTTTTAGTTAGAGCTGGTCCCCCTCCAAAACTCATGACCACTTAGTTTTCAGGGCGCTCCCACCAGCCACCCTCCTCAGCCAGCAGCCCTTACCCAACAAGAACCACAGGAACCCTGGTCTCGGATCTCTTTGATGGTTGGACAGTTTGGCCAGTTCTCCCGGGCATCAAAGCTTTCTGGCAGATCCATTTCATCAGCTAAGAAAACTCTGGATATAGAAGATCTTCATTACATTACAATCTTTCCTCTTAAAACTAACTACAGCCCCCTCCCCCACGCCCCCCATCACTGCAAAGTCCACTTAGTTTAAGAATGGCTGACTGTGACCTGGGCCTCCACTTCAATAGGAAGCGAGGCATGAAAAAGGCCCACAGATGAGCAAGTCTGCAGGGAGATTATTCTCCTCAGAGAAAAGTGTGGCTGTTCAGCACAACTTAGCATTGTCTCTTTCTACACTTATGTTATGGATACTGTCTAAGTGTTTTAACTACAGGGTATACATAATTTTGTTTACTGCTTTCCCTGTCTCACTCCCAGTCATAACTATCTTCCTAGATTCCTCAGAATTTTCCAAGTCGTCTTCTTAGTGTATATAATGGTGTGTCATAACCTTACTATTCCATCTTACTGTTGGATCATTTATAATATTTCCTAATAAAGTTATACCTGCATGAAAACTGCCATTACAGTTTCCTATAGAAATAAAACACTAATGATGAATCATACCACTTTTCCCCTATTTTTCCTTAAATTATTCCAGGTGGAATCCCTAGTGCTTGTACATTCAGACCTAGTTTTTCAGACCTGAGGTCTTTCTCAAAAGGTTCTAAAGAAACATGCAGTAGTAATTGGCACAAGACTGAGCCCTGGTGCTCAAGGAGTCATCTCAGCCATTTTTAGGGAAGTGAGACCCAGGATGCCCAGAAAGCTTGCCTCCTTTTTCTCATACTCTAGACAACCTCTTGCTGTTCACATCACAGTGGTTCAGGGGGAATAGTGCATCCTTCCGGCATGCAGGCACTCACCTCTCGGGCAGCCTGGGTCCCTTGAGCCGGGTGCCACACAAACTCTTAATGTAGCTCATATCCACATTGTAGAAGTTGTGTCCAGCCTAGAAAAGAGCCGTGGGGCAGTCATCCACCAACAGGAGAGGGCATTTTCTTCGGATAGGGATACATGTGTGCTTGTTGTCCACACACAAGATCTAACTCAGTAGAGCCAGAGGCAAAAGCAAATGGGGAGAGGGGCCACCCCTAAAAGCAGCCCCCCAGAACTGAGGCAGGCAGCCCTTTCTTATAGCAGCCCTGAGACCTTATTGGGGCAGTTTAGCTCTTAGATCAGCTGGTGTCTTCTTTGACTTGCCATCATCACAAACAACATGAGAAGCCTTCCCCAGTGCTGAACATATCTTATTTCTCATTTCTTGGTCTCTGCAATCCCAGCTCTTAGTGTTGGCACAGCTAAACCATCACTCCCATTAGTGTGGTACCTTACAGGATCTACTATGCTGTGACTGTGACCTCATTTACTCCTCCACAGACTGAAAGACACGTACAGAAGACAGGGTGGTGGTGGGCATGATCCCAAGCCTCTAGGACTCTGGGTCACTGTCCAGATGCCCAGGAGAAATGTCCCACTGTGGAAGCCCACTCAAGTCAGGGGAGGTAGGGTGGCGGGGGAGGGCGTGGGTCTAGTGGACAGTTCAGCTTGCAGGTGGGGCCTGCAGAAGAGAAACAACTAGAGCCCACCTGCCATGTAGTGTTATAATTGTTGACTAAGTTGATCAGCTCCTCCGACATGGTCTCGAAATGCTGTCTGCTCCAGGCACTGGCCAGCACCACCAGGCAGCAGAGAGTGGTCAAGAGCTGCCTCATTTTGGAAGCTGGATCTTCTCGGATTTATCTAGAAAGAAAAAAATCACAAGACATCAGGACATTTCTCCTTTACTCACCTAATGTGCTCAATACACAGGCCCCATCTCAGGGACACTGAGTTCTGGAAATAGGAACAACCACGTGACCCAGGAGTCTGAGGGCCCTTGTTCTTTGTCAGTGCTGCCAAGTCTATATGTGGTCCCCCTTCTCATCGTCCACTGTTAGGTGAGATGCAGGGAGTCTTGAGGACCCTTTAGCATCCATGGAAACCACATCCTGTCCTTGGAGTCTGACTTGGGCCCAGGACATATCTATCTGGCTTCTCCTCCCACCTCGAAGGCTAAGGGCCAGCAAGGGAAATCCATACAGCTGTTCTATGGGCACCAGAGGCCCGCTCCAGCTTCAGGCTAGTGGGGCATGCAGCTGCAGGCTCCAGGGTGTCAGTCCTGAGCTTCTCCCAGGCAGCCAGAAAATGTGTCCTATGGCACAATTGGGAGTTTGAAAAATGTAATGTGATTTTCAGGGATGCTGTGGACTCTGTGAGCCATCACAGGGAGTGTGACACGCCTCACAGGTGGTGTGACGTGCCTAGGGTGGTGACATCTTAGACCAGGTCAGGCTGACACCTTTGTGCCTCAGTATGGTAAGCAGTCAGATGCTAATCAGACCTGAGGAGCAGCCCCTTCATCTATTCAGTTGATAAAGGGAATCAGTTCTTACTCACAGCTGGCTTCCCTAAATAGCAGTTTCAGGGCCCAAGGGGCCCCAGTGTGAACCTGAGGCTGATTCTGTGCTCAAGAGCCTTGACTCTGCTGAGGGGAGAGCCAGGCTGAGCAAACATTACAACCATTCTCGGCACTGCCTCCAGGACCCTGCCTGGGTCCTAACATATTCTCCCTCTATGAGGGCTGACAGAAGCTACAAGGCTGGCACTTGGTGCCATTCACCACAGGAACTATTATGGGTACATTACCACCCGTTTTAAGATGCATTTCTCTGCAAAGTTTTGCATAATCATAGGCTCCCCTGCTGCAGAGGCTTGGCTGCCTCTTTCTGCTTCCCCAGCAAACACTGGTCAGAGATAGAAGGAATTTCAAATGGAGAGATTACATGCATATTTTACACACAAACAGCTCATGTGCATTGTTACATCTTTTGAAAATATACCGAAGCATGTACACAAAATTAGTCTGTGACTAAGAACTGACTATTCAGGATTCTCTCAGTCACTGGCTCTAGCAATCCTCCAAAGCACCACGTTTTTGTTGTAAGCCATAGTACAGCCCAGAGTAGGGAAGGAGAGGTATGTTATTAGAACTTTCTATAACCAGGTATGGTCTAGTTGGTTAACAGACCTGCTAAAAACAGACACCAGAAATGGGACAAAATGCTGGACAACCAGAAACAAGAAACCAGGTGGGGTTGCAGGGGTGAGAGTGAGGGAGGGGGTCAGTGTAGATGGGGCTTTGTTCAGAAAACTGAACAAAGGAGACTCAACTTGAGAGCTAGTTGGCTTATGTTCTCCCCTCTTTGGGGCCTGGAAGTCCAAAATAAAAGGAGGAAAAATGTTTGTTGAGTTTTAGCACACCACTGAATGGAGGATGGAGAAGAAAGAGGGAGAATATCGGAGCCGCACTGACACTGTGTTCAGAACCAGGCTCTGTCCCTTGCTGGCCTTGTGGCTCTTCCCTTCATGGACTCTGTTAACTCATCTCTAAAATGGAACCATTATGCTTACTCTCAGGATGTCTGGATGATCCAAAAGCAAAGTATGTAAAATGCTGCAGCACACAGCAGGGCACAGAGGTGTGTCAGTAAAAGTTATTAGCTCCCTTTCCAATATTTGCGGGAGAAAGAGTTCCTTGATCTGATTGCCCAGACATTAAAGTACAGAGATGCCCTCTGCAGGGCACAGATATTCCCAATGATAAAGTAGCAGACTTCTTGTCTTCTAGTGGGAGATTAGGGTTTGATTTCCAGCCAAAGCACTACATGTGCAGACATCACCCATCCGCTGTGAAAGCTTGCATGTTGGCATGATGCTAAACAGGTTTTGATGGACCAAAGAAAAAGAGCTGGTGAACTACTTCCAAAAAGTAGCCAATGGAAACCCTATGGATCACATGGGTTCAATCTCATGGTGAAAGCAATGGCCAGCAGCTAACAACAATAATAAAAAACTTGTCTGGAGACTGAGCTGGCCTGGAATGTACTAGAAGAACCCTGACTGGAAACCCCAAGCCCAGACACCAGCTTGGTCACCAGCTGCAGGAACTTTGGTGGAACAGGACCTGATGAAGCCAGGTAGCCAAAGGCCATCCTTGGTGGGCATATGCACCAGCCCAGCCTCCTCGTCCACCTAGGTAATCTGACGCCCTCTGCTCCCAATGAGCCATCAGCCAGAGCCCAGCTGGGGCAAGCAGGAGAACACAGGTGTGCAAACATGCCATAGAGGGTGGGGGTGGAGGTGTCAAAGATCATGGTTTCCCTTTTGTAGAGCATGGGGAGGCTGCCACCCCAGCCCTAGTCTCCTGTTCAGCCTGCCAGGCCTGACCAATAACCAGTCTAACTTCCAGATCAAAGGTGACTCCTCTATAAAACCGAGTCACTTGTCAAAGATAAATCCTTTTCATCCTTCTTCAAACGACTTGTTCTATAAATTGCCTTTCTCTGGATTGTCTCAATCCCTCTCTATCATAACAGGATAAAGTCTCACAATAATAACAGCAGGAGAAGCTTGTTTACATTTACTGTGCATGTACCAGGCACCATGCTAATTCAGTACATATTTTACATCCACTTGTCCTTCATCATATCCAGACAAGTACTAGCATCCCATTCTACAGAAAGACTGAAGGAAGAGAGGCTGAGTGAATGGCAGGCCCATTTTAAACTCCTACCCTGCACTGTAAAACAGCAGACAATACCTCCACAGACCCCAATCTGTGACATGTCATTATTAGTCACAGCTATTAATGGGCCTTTTATTACAGATTCTCACGCTTGGCAGGCACAGGCTAAAACTCTTAAGGCACTGAGGGGAAATAATATTTTTTACAAAATTTCCTATTATGAAATTCAGGAAAGAATATTTAAGACAAGACACAGAGCTTTTCTTTTTTGTTATCAAACCCATTGCCACGGAAGTAAATTCTGACTCCTGGTAAACCAATAACCTCATGGTTAACAGTCTGACATGTTATGTACTGTGTCACCTACCTTCCTTTTTGGTAGGTAAACTCAAATGACCAGGCACCTGGGATCTCCCTGAAGAAATGGTGGAAGTATGATGGTCCTTCTTAATAAGTTCCTCAGTGAGTACTCCCTCGGGTGTGTACTAAGCCCTACAGCCATTCTGTGCAATAACTCTAAATTTTTCATTATTTATCTGAAAGTATTCTTTCATCATTTCCATTTTTTTGAGCATGAGACTCCCTGTAGATCGTAAGACTAATGTGATAAAGCTGTAGCCAGACTCACAGGCTAAAATCAGAGTCTGGAATCAGTTTATTGGATGGTTTGCTGTCTCGCTATCTTGTGAGCTCTGTGAAGATAGAGGCTAAGGATTATCTTGTTATCTGCCATAACGTCATGGTCAGTAAATAGCAGATATAAAGGAATATACCCTGAATGAATGGATTATCTAGCTCTTCAGACTAAACTAGATCCAGTCTCCTTTTCATTAATTTAGCTGGGATTTGAACCTAGACAATTTGACCCCTGGTGTTAGTACTTATCTATCATGCTTTTCACAGATCTGGATCCTTTTCATTATTTTAAATCTGCCTCTCCATGGTGGTACACCAGAAAAACATTCTCCCCAAGTTGTTGTTAAGGTATGTGCCATCAAGTTGAGGCCAACTCATAGCTGAGCCTCCAGTTGTTTTTCAGAGGCTGTAAACTGAAGAAGAGGAGACTGCCCATCTCTCTCCCTCAGAGCAGCTGTGGTCTTTGGGTTGGCAGAGCAACTCCTTACCTGCTAGGTCACCAGCGTAAATGTTCTGCCCATGTGGGAGCGCTGGTGGCCTAGTGGTAAGAAGCAGTGCTGCAAATCCCAAAGGTACAGGTTCAAATCCACCAGCTTCTCCAAGAGACAAGGATGGGCAAATTTCTGCCAACTGCCTCTAAAAACCCACTGGAGGATCAACTATGGGATGCTTCTAACTCAAGGGCACACAACAACATGTAAGTATATCCTAAATTGACACTCAAACGAAAAGAATCTAAAAGAAAGTAAGTTTCATGAACTACATATTTTATGCAAAGCAAGCAAAACCAAATCAACATAAACAGTATTTTTGCATATAACTCAACCACAGTGCATACCATGTCCATAGATACTATATGCAAAAACTGTATACTGTGTATGTTTTTCTGGTCAGCTAAAAGTTGTGCATCCACTCAGGATGGGGCATCAAAAGGGGCTACCATCACATGACAACTACAGCTTTTTCATCTTTGATTGCGTTGGAGTCAGGAGTCCCGTGGTTTCTAGATTGGCTCTGAGTCACCCCAAATCAAACAGTTCTCACAGAAGACATGTTTACTGATGTCTACACCACCACAGGGCCCTGTGACACAGACACCCACCCACATGGCAGGCAGGGCTGAGGATATAGCACGAACTCTGGAAAGAGACTACCTCCTTCCTCACAGGGTGAACGTTCAAGGATGTGCCAGGGCTCAGTACAATGCATCACACTTCACCATCTATATTTAAGGGAATTTTGAAACAAAAGGCTTAATTAACCAACAGTGTATCTGGAAGAATAAAAAGGTGAAAACACAGAAAAGCAATTCTGGAAAAGACCACTGGGGAGTCCTGGCAAATTCAAGATTCCAGGAAGACATCAGCCCAGAAATATTCTTACTAAGACCCCAGGGACATATCAGCCCAGGGACATTCTCAGAAATACACAGATATGTGGGGATTTGGTATACGTGGTAAAGGCAATGAGGAAATTATTTCTCCTTCTCTCATTAGCCCATGCTAGGGAAAC